TGGACAGTATCTTATAATCAACTCCAAGCAGAGACACTGGTCGCCAGTTTCTTATATCAGCAAGATCACCTTTCTTGGGTATCAAGGTGATAACTGCTCTCCGTAGACTCAGTGGTAAAGTGCCAATATCAAAGCACTCTAAAAAAACTGACCTCTTCAATGTTCAACTGCAAGATATCTTGTTCAAGTGGTCTCATTTTATTTTCAAGAATATTCTTATTATGTGTAGAATACGTCTGACAAAAAAGTTTGACTTGAACTTTACTGATGTCCCATCATTGACTCAGACTCTTGTGCTGAGATTTTCTCTCTCTCAATGCCCCCCAGAAAAGTGTAAAAGAGTGCACAAAATTGTGATCCTGCAAAAGCTTATTATTAAAACGCCAGTAGGGGCATTTAAATGTGCTCTGTGCAGTAGTGACATTGACAGACATAAAATTATGGTCTGACAAAGGAGTGGGAGTAATACAACTATTAAAAAAATTATAATAACACTTCTTTGTACATAAATTCTGTCAAGCCTTGCTGCAGAAACCATATTAGAATTTACTTTTATCCATGTGTACTGTTTTACATCAGGAAAAGCTTCTCTCCAAACATCTACACTTCACTTCACTTTTTTTTTTTTTAAAAAGAGATGCTGTTTTCACAGCATCACGACACCCATTGATATTTAAAGAGCCAAAACATAAAGGTGACATGATGCTAAAGGAAAGAAGAATTAATGAAAGAAAAAACTAATTAATTCTGACATCACTAAAATACTAATTTCTTACCACGTAAATGCAAAGAACTTCTCACATTGCTCAGAATCTTCTTAAGACGATATCGTTTCAGCTTGTCAAGTTCCTCAAAATAAGCTTTTCTCATTGCTACTGTACCAGATGCCAAAAACAGACCTAAATCAGGAAAAAAGTCTCAATCTTAGGCTTACGAAGTCCTTTAGTGCAATCCAGGAAGTGAATAAAATTTAGACCTACTTCCCTCAACAGTAAGCTGCCTCTGCACACTTGAACCAGTCTCATTGTTCTCATCCAAAATGCTCTCAATATCTTCATTATCATTATCAGAATCCTCAGTTTGCAAATATGTACCAAATTCTTGAGAGCTTTCATCTTCTACACTTTGACTAATAATGTTCTCTTCAGTATCTACCGTTACCTTAGTAAGCTGCATCTGCTTTATCTCGCTATGTGAACCGTGATCAGTATCTACCTGCACTTCACAGAGGCCCGTCACTGATTGTGTGGCCATGTTCTCACTACCGCTTACAACAGTCACCTTATCTGCTTCCACAAACGCATCCATTGAGATTTCCGAAACCACACTCACCTCATGCAAGGCACCTTCAACAACTGACACCTCCGATGATACAGCAGCCGTATTTAACTCACGACTTGCCTGACTGTTACTCTCTTCATTAACAGCAGCAGCCGTGATATTAACGTCCACTCCATTTTTATTCAGACAAGACTGCCGAACATGCCCAAACTCCCCGCACACAAAACATTTCATCGTCTCTGAACTGATAAAAATCGTATAATCTTTACCATCAATACTCAACTTGACGGACAGGTTCAGAGCCTCATTCTGGGAATTCAAAATCATAATTGCTTGGCGTCTGAACGACATTACATGTTTAAGTTCGACACTCTTACAGCCAAGTGGGATCATCTTGATAGGACCCATTAGCTTACTGTACCTCCGAAGTATCTCCTCTAATTTTTCACTTCTTACAAACGGCGGTACATTTGAAAGAACAATTGTTTTCGTTGGACTTGACGGAGGTAGAACAGGCACAAATGTGTCCTTAATTGTTAAACCACTCTCAATCAAAGTATCCACCAACTGAATTTCACTTAGAAACGGCACTATAGCCTTATTCATGCGTGATGCAGACCTAATGTTTGCGCCACCGATCACAGAACTCACAGCTAATAAACAATCTTCCACCGAGACCGAGGCGTCTGGCATGCATTTACAACCATGCTTCACAGTCATCCCCATTGTCTTCATTACTCGGAGCACGCTGACCAAAGGTCAGCTAACAACCCCACAAAATGTACTCTTTTAATAAAAAAATTAATAAAAATAGAAAGTAGAAAAATTAAACTCACTCAAGAACGCTCTCACCTCACACCAACCAACTCCACTGTTCTCGCACATGCGTGCACACACAGAGAGAGAGAGAGAGAGAGAGCAAGTTCAGAGCCTCATTCTGGGAATTCAAAATCATAATTGCTTGGCGTCTGAACGACATTACATGTTTAAGTTCTACACTCTTACAGCCAAGTGGGATCATCTTGATAGGACCCATTAGCTTACCGTACCTCCGAAGTATCTCCTCTAATTTTTCACTTCTTACAAACGGCGGTACATTTGAAAGAACAATTTTTTTCGTTGGACTTGACAGAGGTAGAACAGGCACAAATGTGTCCTTAATTGTTAAACCACTCTCAATCAAAGTATCCACCAACTGAATTTCACTTAGAAACGGCACTATAGCCTTATTCATGCGTGATGCAGACCTAATGTTTGCGCCACCGATCATAGAACTCAAAGCTAATAAGCAATCTTCCACCGAGACCGAGGCGTCTGGCATGCATTTACAACCATGCTTCACAGTCATCCCCATTGTCTTCATTACTCGGAGCACGCTGACCAAAGGTCAGCTAACAACCCCACAAAATGTACTCTTTTAATAAAAAAATTAATAAAAATAGAAAGTAGAAAAATTAAACTCACTCAAGAACGCTCTCACCTCACACCAACCAACTCCACTGTTCTCGCACATGCGTGCACACACAGAGAGAGAGAGAGAGAGAGAGAGAAAAACACATACTTGCTTGTTCAACCCAGTTCTTCCCAAATACTGTAACAATAATGATTTCATATTTCTTCCTGGATTTAAAACATTCTTAATTATAAACCACTCACCCTTATTCTCTAGTTCATCCTTAAACTCATTTCTTTCAACAATATATTTCCTACAGTACATTATAACGTGTTCAACTGTTTCATTAACGTCACATACCTCACATAGCCCTGTTGGATGTTTACTTATTAAATGCATTGTACTGTTCAACCTTGTATGCCCCAATCGCAACCTTGTAATCATATTCTCCTCAGTTCTGCTCCAACCTGATACTCTTCCCCTATCCACTGTTGATTGTATATGATACAAATGCCTACCTTTGGTATCTATGTCCCAATACTGCTGCCATAATTTCCAAATATTCATTTTGATAATTCAGTTTCTCCTGTGCATTTGTGCCTTTCTTATGAGGAAAATGAGGGAGTTTATCCCCTGCATTCCTTTTAGGCCATAAAACCAGTGATATCAGCATTGGTTACCATGGAACCAGAGGCCTGTTCTGCTTTTCTGAGGTGTTAGGTGCATTTCGGGGGAAGGGTCCATAGACCCTCGTAATTGGCCATTTGGTTAGGTGATGGGGAGTTCGATATTATTTGTTAAATATAACAAAAAGTTGTGTGTCTGATTGGTCCAAATGCTACAATTATTTGTCTTTTCCACTGAAAACTTAAAACCATTTTCCCTTGACCACTTTTCTACGTCATTTAATGCACATTGAATCTTCTTTATAGTATATTCTATATTCTTTCCTTTAAACCAAAGAGCCCCATCATCAGCAAACAAAGACTTCCCCAGACTTGAATTTATCCGGGAAAAAACATTAGTCATGATGATAAATTACAGTGGACTAATGACACTGCCCTGGGGTGTTCCATTCTCGATTACTCCACTGGAGGACACAGCGCCACCAACCTTCACCCTTATACTTCTTCCAACTAAAAATTATTTAATCCAATTGTATATTCTTCCTTTTATACTCAACCTTTCTAATTTTATTAATAATCCCTCTTTCCACAACATATCATACGCCTTTTCTATATCGAAAAAAACAGCGATGACACTCTCCTTGTTCACAAATGCCTTTCTTATATCATCTTCTAAAGATACTATTGAATCCAAATTTGTCTTTTCCACTGAAAACTTAAAACCATTTTCCCTTGACCACTTTTCTACGTCATTTAATGCACATTGAATCTTCTTTATAGTATATTCTATATTCTTTCCTTTAAACCAAAGAGCCCCATCATCAGCAAACAAAGACTTCCCCAGACTTGAATTTATCCTTGAAAAAACATCATTAATCATGATGATAAATAACAGTGGACTAATTACACTGCCCTGGGGTGTTCCATTCTCGATTACTCCACTGGAGGATACAGCGCCACCAACCTTCACCCTTATACTTCTTCCAATTAAAAATTCTTTAATCCAATCGTACATTCTTCCTTTTATACTCAACTTTTCTAATTTTATTAATAATCCCTCTTTCCACAACATATCATACGCCTTTTCTATATCGAAAAAAACAGCGATGACACTCTCCTTGTTTACAAATGCCTTTCTTATATCATCTTCTAAAGATACTATTGAATCCAAAGTCCCTCTTCCCCACCTAAACCCACTTTGATAAGGAGAAAACCAGTTAATTTTTTCCAAATCATATGTCAATCTGTCTGTAATCATTCTCTCCATGACCTTACATAAATGAGAAGTTAAAGCTATTGGACGATAACTCATAGGATTACTTCGATCTTTCCCAGGCTTTTTAATAGGTATAATTAATGCTTCCTTCCAACTTTGAGGAAGTATACCTTCCATCCATATTCTATTGTAAAATGCTAAAATTACCTTCATAGAATTTTCACTAAAATGCTTCATCATACTATAACTTACTCCATCCATTCCTGGAGCAGATTGTTTCATTCTTCTTACTGCATTTCTTAATTCACTCATAGAGAATGGTACCTCTAGCAAATCATTACCAGTCACCTTTTTCCCCCATTAAATCTGGATACTCTTTTAACATATCTTTCCTTATATCCTTACTCTGATCAGTTAAATTTTCTGAACTATTTACTTTTATGAACGTATTTAAAAACATTTCCACTTTCTTTTCATCCTCCACAGCAATTTCCCCTCCAATACTTAAAACGGGACATTCCTTATTTTTTTAATTCCTTTCATTTTCTTAATCATGCCCCACACCTCCTCTACTGGTGTATTCTTACCCATTTCATTACAGTATGACTTCCAATACACTATTTTGGCTTTTCTTACTGTCCTTCTTGCATCTGCTTGTGCTTTTTTATAGTCTATTAAATCTTGAAAATTATGTTTTCCTAACTCTCCTAAATGCTTTGCTTTTCTTTCTTATAGCATTTTTACAGTCCACCATGGGACTATCTTATTCTTTCTTCCCCCTCTCCCCTTTGGTATATACTTATTTGCTGCAATTAGTATCGCTTGTACTATTTCTTCACTTATCATCTCTACTGACCCATCTGATTCTACTATAATATTATTTAATCCCTCTTCACTTATTCTTGTAAATTCTTCCCAACTCGCTTTGTCGTACTTCCAATTACAAATACTTCCTTTACTAACACCATTTCTTCTTGCGTTTACTCTTATTGATATAATAGGGT